AGGAATGTATCTTCTTTGGGAAATTTCATCCACACTTTCCCCTCTGGTGTCTGGATTTTAGGTATATGCCTTATTGGGTGTAAATCTAGTGATGACTGAATCCTTCTGGAGCAAAGGAATCCCAGACTGTAACACAAGTTTCAAGTCTATAATGCTAAAGCCACAACATAGCACTACATTTATTAGATAGTCCTCACTTTTTATAAAGGAAAATACTAGAGTAACTCATAACAAATGCAAGCTGAAAATTATTAATTTTTGCCATGTGGAAGCCCTAGCTGTTCTTGGCTAAAAATCTGACACTCTGTAGGTGAAATTACTTGTGTTTATTACATGCTGTGGGAACATTTCCCCCCTCTCTCCTCTGTAAGGTGAAATGCCACAGAAACAGTGAGATCCTAAAGTGTCACAGGTGTTTTCTAAAAGAGGTAGGGTCTGTGGCTTGCCCTTGTTAGGAAAAATAATTGTGTTGCATACTGGGTTATCTATGCAGACCTTGCTGGAGGATTTTATCGTGTGATGCCATGCTCCAAATGAGCCCAAAACAAGGAAGCGCATGCAGGATGTTATCAGCATTGTTGAACCTCTTCAGCTGGTCTAAAACTTAAGTGTGCTTTAAGCTTATCCCACATAAACTATAAAATTGGCATCAATAGCAGTGTTACTGATAAGTCCACTAGGCTGGTAAGTTATGGGTTTGCTTTTGTTGGTGTTTGTTTGTTTTTAAATAAAAAACTGTTTATCCTTCAGTTGCTTGGGGAGGGGAAGGAAAAAGCTGTATCAAATTTTAATTATTTTTTTTTTCCTTTCTGAAATGTAGGTCTACAGCATCAGGACAAGAGCAAGGAAACTTCTTGGTTCTGAAGTTCAGATAAATTAAGATCAGCTAAAGCTGGAGTAAGCGCAGCTAGGTGGGCGATATAAGTTGTTGACTCCTTCTGCATGGGGCAAAGGACACACATGAAGATGAGGAGCCAACCATTCTGGTTTTGCTGTTGAGCCTTTTGTTTGTAAGGCCATTTATGGGTCCCACAGTGTTGGAAAAAAAGAAAACCCCAAAACCTAATTTTTCTTTCTTTACTCATCTGAGCCTGCTGCAGCTGGGCAACCTAACTCCTTTCTGCTCCTTTAACAGTGTTTTGTTTTGTTCAGCTTGATATTTTTATGAACAGTCTCAATTGTCAGGAAGAAGACTCTCCCTTGACTACAGTGCGCCTCCTTTCAGGAATACAGTATTTTGTAGCTCTTTGTGCATCTATTTTTGTAGAAATACAGAAAGTTTGGGTAAGGATTGATGGGGTATTTTAGGAAGACATATTTTTTTAAAAAAATTGTAAAATTGTTAAGTTCTGTTTAAAGAACTTGCTCTCAGAGAAGCACTGGCAAAAAAAATGTATAAAATGCTATTTTTAGATGTCTGATGTTTTTGTGCATTTTGGGTTTTTTATTTGTTACCTCAAATGTCTGTCTTTCCTTTCTTTTTAAAGAGCTATACTTTCCTTGTTTCCACATTAATAGATTCTGATTTTTGTCCTTTTGTTCTAGCTTAAGCAAGTGTAATTTGCACCTAAAGTTTCAGCCAAATATTTCTCCTGCTGGTATTAGATTGTAGTAGGGATGTTTTTATTTTCTTGCTTCTAAAGGTGGCTTTGTGCTGTGCTCGTTGTCAGAAACTTGCAAACACCTTTAGCATGGAGCAAAGCCTGGGGTTATGGAAACTGCATTTCCAACCCATTCATTCTTTAAAAATGGACCAAATAGTCTTACGGATTTAAATCAGACCTTAATTTGAGCCTCATCCATGATCCATTGAAGCTGTCGAACACAGTCCCCTATGGCTTATGTTTAAGGCCCTCATAGAGCTCATAAATATCAGTATACTCTTACTTTAACTCACAAGGCAGGACTTTCAGCTAAGTCATTTCAAGAGTGGTAACTTATAACATCAATATTCAGGAAAGAAATGTCAGTTTTCTAAAGTTGTGTGACTTGTGGAAACAAGATGTTTTCAACTGGCCTGATCTGTCTGGTGAGGACCTTGAGCAAACTGCTGACATTTTGAACTCCTGTTGACTTCAAAATCTGTTTGTCTAACTTAAGATTTGCTCTGGGCCTTACGAAGACTCCAGCTGCAGCTCTTGAGTTCAACACAAAGTTGCACATGCTCAGTGTGCACAAATTCACACGGCTGATCTCCGGGTAAGAATCTGAACTTGGAGATGATGAGGCCACAGCACTCTGCAAGGCATTTGGGAAACTCCATTTCTTGCCTGGGACTGGGGTCTGACTTGCATAATAAGGACTTTAGTTGAAGCCAAAGTGACCACGATCCAATCCTGAATAAAGGCTGCAAGATTACCCAGCCCCAGTCCCGTGATGTGTGTCAGCAAGTGCTTGGGTGGGACCGAGTGCAGGATGGGGGCCAGGGTTATCCGGTCCTAGCTATTGCTTGGAGATGTTGTCTTTCTGCTCTCTGCATCTAGGGTCCTTCTGTAATATTTCCAGCTAAATGGAAACCAAGACATTAAACACATGGCTGAGATAAGCAACAGTTTAATTTTAAGGCAACAAGCATTGTAAATGTAGGTTTGTCAGGTGGATACCGCGTGGGTCAGCGTGTGAAAGGGGAGGGGGTGTGTTGGGATGTGCATGCCACTCGGACTCTTCGGCCTCCCTCCACTGCTGCTTCTCTCCAGGCTCTTTGAACTTGATCCTATGAGGTGTTGAGTGTTCTGCCGTGCTATATGAGAGGATTTGATACGCTGGCACTGAAGGCATTAAGATTATGTCACAATTTGGCAAGACCCTTAAGTGTGTACCTTGCTGATTTAAAGTCTGAGGCAGTGTGGAAGTGCTGAATGGACTATGCTTAAATATTACTTTAAAATAATAGGGTTGTAGGTTCTGTGTTGGGATACTGAATTAAATGTACTGGGGTTTTTCCTCATCTTTATAGTCCATCAGCATTTCTTCTTAATAAATTCCACTCTTATGACAGTTCTATATATTATTATATGGTGGAGCTAGCTCTTCAATTTGTCAGTGAATTTATAATACAATAGGAAAACTATATGGGAGGAAATGTAGTAATAACTGCCACAGTTCACTTTCTTATCAGGACAGTTTAGTTCAGGAAATAATAGTTCTGACTTAGGAATTCTGACAGTATTATATATACTGAGAGGAAAAAAATTCAAGCTTTTCTAATTTTTTTTTCTGGGCTTTGCAAAGCTAGAAGGCAAAGAGACTATATCTTTGAATTTCAGGGCTGGAGACTTTTGGTGGTGGTGGGAGCAAAAGAAAAGGCAACATTTATTTTTGTTGAGTAGCATGTTTGACTTCCTGACATGAAGTCTAGTGTGAGAAGTCAGTTCATTGCCTTCTACTTTGCAAGTTCACGTGATGAGAGACATCCTCCTGTTCCCTGATGTCAAAGCAGAATGAGACAGGAAAAAACAGGCCCACAGTTTGCACTGGAATTCCTTCTTGGATTGTTTTGTTGAGTTGATGGGTAGTGGGGATGAAAATGTGGTGAAGCTATTGCCTCTTCCACCTCAAGGACTACTGTTATGTGCCCAGTTTCCACTGCTGCACCTGTGAGTGTGCTGAAGGAACTTCTGTTGCTCTGCAGGCTCTGGAAGACAAATGCCAATAAAAACCTGCTATTGCCTATAGCCATTCATGCAGCAGACGACTCTGGAAATCAAATAAATTCATTTTCTTTCCTCAGTCACTAACCATTGTCTGTAGTAAAAAACAAGTTGAAAGTAAAAGCACAAGTGCATAGCAGTCACCCTACTTCTGTGTTCTACTATTTGAAGAATATGAAAGAAAAAATCCTTCCCTGTGACAAAATTTAAGTTAAATTCTCTCTCTTTCTCTCTCTCACATACACACACACTTACACACACGCACAAATGTGATGGTTTTGTTCTTGAAAGAGGAGGGGAGTGCTTGCTTGCAATGTTGCAGCTATGGAGAATTGATGGCAGTGAGGAAGAAACAAATGTTAAGACTTCTCATGTTTCCACAGATAGGAAAAAAAGGCCCTTAAAATCAGGTCACAGACGAGTTATGTGTCTTAATGCATTACTAAAGGAGTTGTTTCATTCTTTTTGTGTGTGGTGAGTTCTGATGCTGTCCCAAGAAAGTGGATGATTCATTTTGTGAGGATTCATAAAACATGAGGTACTCTGTTACTATTTCTGGGAGAATATAGGGAAATTTTTGCTTTCTTTCAAGAAAATCTACATACTAAACTCCTTAAAGTTGTCCAGGATTTTATTTTATTCCTATTAATGTTGTGAAATCTGTTGTCAATTTTTGTGTCTTCATTTGAAGACTGGGAAGGTTCAAGCTGTCCACCAGTTTTTGAAAAGCAGATACCATTTTGTTTCAACTGGGTATTTCCATCCCAAGAAGAAGATAGAATGGTGCAGCTACTGGCCACCCAAGAGATATGGTTTCTGGAGAGCTGAATAAGCTACACTTGTCAATAGTAAAATGCACTTTGTTCTGATTCCTCACCAGACACACAAATTCAGTTATCACTTTATCTGGTACCTCTTTCATAGTGTGAAGATCTTTTAAAAAATGGCAGTTTTCTTTCAATCATCTACTTCTGCCTCAAAATTTACTTTCAAAGATCAGTTTTTCATCACAGCTTTCAGAGGGAGCAGAGGTTGCGGAAGGGGAAGCATCACGTCCCTCCCCTGCTCCTGACCTGCATTTAGGATCAACTTGCCCGTACCCAGCCTTTCTGCTTCTGAGCTATTGTGTACATCTTTCTCTCCTCCCACAATTCTTTATGTGTATATATGTATTTATATACATATATGTGCACACATACATAGTTATACCTGGTTCCCTCCATTCCACCCTGATACTTCAAATGCCTGTCCTTTGGAAATGAAAAGAATTACATCACTAAATCTCATTTGAGACTGAGGAAACATAGGCATTTTATTGCATTTTCTGTAACCTCAGTGGTGAATAGAATTTTTCTGTACTGGTAAAAAAACAAAACCAAACAACAACAACAAAAACTCAACAAAAAAACCCTTTCAAAACCCCTAATATTTTGTATCTGCAAAGATGACCACGGAGTTAGCAGAGTTATGTAGAGAGGTGCAATATATAGCCTTTCAACAGACAAGCATATCTTTTTGAATATGATTCTTTTAATTAATTTCAGGTACAAAGCTTTTTCTCCATATCAATGGACCAGCAACATATATTTCTTATAAACAATTTAGAAATATATATATTTTTAAGATTAACTTCTTGGCTTTGATATGTCAGCCTTTGAGCTTTTAAAGGTTATTTGGATTATAAATATTGTTTGTGTGTGGATTTTTTAAAAAGTTGATGCATGTTGTTTGGAACAGAAATCTCATGTAAAGCCAAAAGGTATTTTAAAATAAATACTGCTTTTACATGTTAGCCCTATGGGCACAATCTGACAATTTTGATGCAGGAAGATGTCCCTTTAAAGGCTAAGGGACTCTTGCTTGAGCAAGGTCAAAATCCACTCCCTGAGACAGGAGCAGTCTTCTTGCAGAGGTTGAGCTGGTAGAGCTGTGAGCAAAGATGATCCTTTCCAGTATTGTATGTAGATGGTTGGGCAGCAACTTCTCAAAATATTAAAATTAGGCTATGCTGGCAGCTGTATACTTGCCCCATCTCATGGGGTGAACTGGTTGCCAGGGGGAATTGGAGATGTTCCTGGAAACCTGTGTTTTAGCTGCCCCTAGTCTGCACAGTGCCCATGAATCCTCTCCCTCTTCTTGCTCGGCAGCCTCCTTGACACCACAATGGGATCTGTGAAAGCTGGACTGGAGTTCCCTGTGAAATGCAGGAAGATTTTAGCTCTCAATAAAGATTGTTAAGGGATAGAGGTAATTAAAATATCAGCTCTCATTCACCTGCTCCAAGGCTCAAGCCTTCAGGATGGATCAGCTGTGTATTGTAGATGATGGCCATTTGCACACGGAAGTCCAAATACTGCTTTCTCCTCTCTATGCCTTTGGAAATCTTAGGTGACATTGAGATCATCTGGACCAGCCTTGAATGCCTAATTTGCAGTCCAGTATTGGCTGGAACAGTGAGGTGGCCTAGGGTGTGGTCCAACATTGGTGGCCTTCAGTTGGATCGGCTTTGATTCTGGAGAGCTTGGGCTCAGGTAACTATCACCTATAGACAACCAATATTTATAGCAGTTGAGGTTTACAGTAATCAAGTAAAGTATCTGCAGAACTGTGCTGCACTTTCCCTGCTAGCTGTTTGTAGCTGTTGTTTAAAACCATCAGTCAAATCAGGGTCCCTCTCCTCCCTCCCCCACTGTTTTGAAACCCTGCTTCCCTCAAACCTCCATTAAACTTTTTTGCTCCTCATCAAAACTGGTGGGGGAGTTTTGTATA